ACACACACACACAGGCACACACACACACAGGCACACACACACACACGGGCAGACACACACACCCTCCCCTAGCCCTTTGACAATTCAATGACTCTGGCACAGTTCCTGCGGTACACGAGATTACAGGGAATTTTCGGTATGTCCCTCTGGCTGTACCTATCTTTACAGCTAGACCCAGCTGGTGCCTGCAACGGCCAATGTCTGCCCCCTCCCTCTATCCCCTCTGGAGGATACATCTCTTCGTCAGTGGAATATACCTACTTGGCCCTGGGCACATTCAATTAAGGAGGTGAGCTTTGTCCACATGGACAGCTAGCCTCCAATATCTCGCTGCCTCAGGAGTGACCATCCTTAGCTGGGACAGAGCCTAGGCCTACAGCTCTGAGAACTAACCAGAACCCTGAGATACAGAGGCAGGCAGATATCTATCTATATCTATATCTATACACACACCGTGAAAGAGACAGAGAGAGAGAGATTCTGACAAACACAGACACAATAAGAGAGACACACACCACAGATACTTACAGATAGTGACTGAGGAACACACACACACACACACACACAGACACACACACAGACACCTACACTAAGACAGACACAGACATACACCCACACACAGATACATGATCACGTACAGATACACACACACAGGCTGAGAGACAGCAAAACCCACAAATGAACAGAGAGACATAGACAGAGAGACTAAGAAACAGACACCCACATTCAGACAAACACCCACACATAGACATACACCGACAGACAGACACACAGCCAGAGAGAGACTCACAAACAGAGAGAGATTAAGACACAGTGAAACACACATCTGGATATCAAGGGACAGATAGACAGATTAACAGAGAGAGAGATAAATGAGACAGACACCGAGAGACACAGAGAGAGATAAGAGTCCGCAGTGAGGTAATACAGGCAGAGTGTTTGGGTGAGAGCGAGCATGTAAAGACTGAGGGACAATCTGTCTTACCTGTTTGTTCATCAGGATGTAAATGAGAGGGTTGTACAGAGCTGAGCTTTTGGCAAAGAATGCTGGGATGGTCATGAAGACTGGCCCGAATTCGCTGCCTTGATTGGTGAAGATGTAGATTGCCACAGAGGCGTACGGCAACCAACAGATGAGGAAAGCAAACACCATGATGATAACCATTCGAGTGACCTCCCGCTCAGCTCTCTGGGTGGTTTCTGATTCCTGTTGCTGGGCTGCGGCCTGGGGACAAGAAGGGGAGTATTAGTGAGTGAGGATCAAGGTCAGGGCAGGGGGGCAGACATAGTTGAGAAACAAACATTGAGTGGTGGTCAAATTTACAAAGCTACAAACTTCAGGTCACAGGCTGCTGGGTTATTATATATGGAAGCCCAGAATTATGGAACAACAACACGATTGAACCTTAGGCTGGTCAAACAAAAGCACAGAACTCAGAACTGGGAGGGTTAACGGCAGCCAAAGCCCAGAGAAACCCATTTAGTCCCTTGTACCCTTCAAGCACAAGGAGGCAATGATGTCTCTCATGGGGACGTAGGTGGAAAACGTGGTTCATAACGGCTGAGGGATGTGGTCTAAATATAGAAGAATACAAAGTTTTAGGGAAGGGGAAAGGGAGATAGGTGACAGTAGTAATGACTGGGGAAGGCATAGTCATGTGAAACGGAGGAGATGTCCCTGAAGGGGAAAATATTGTGATAGTAAAGGTAACGCGAGGGGAAAACCTCTGCCATTTTATTAGGAGAACTCCTTGATGCATTGGATTATTCTTTGATGGATTGGATTTTCTAAAACTCATTAGGTTCACGAAGGTTCCTTGACATTGGAAAATAGCTAATATAATTCAAAAAAGGAGGGACACAGGAAGCAGGAAACGACAAGCCAATTAATTTAACATCTGTCGTAAGGAAAACATTGGAAGCTATTATGTGACGATATGTGCCTTTAATATGGATTTGTTTTGACTTGGTTGAAGACGGATGGTGTTAATCTGGTGTTGAGGTGTCTGCTCCATGAAAGCGGAGTAAATAGCTTCAGTCTTTTTAAAAAAAATTACACAAAGCAGCATGATGGGTGGAGTCAGGCTCACACAGACTGAGGGTTGTGGTTTTGCTTTCAGTTGTTGAAGTTGGAGTTTTGGAGTTGAAGCTTCTAGATACAGATCTCTCTGTTTCTGAAAAAAAAACTTGAGTTCTCTCTCAGCTGCTAGATTCATTCTGTCAGTGTTCCTTCTCTTGGTCTGGAGGTTGTAGCAAGTGAGGGAAATCTGTTTTGCTGAATTTGCCTTTGCCAAGGGTGTGTTTATGGGATGCTGTTGTGTTGGAACAGTTAGAGTCATAGAAATATACAGCATGGAAACAGACCATTCAGTCCAACTCGTCCATGTCAACCAGACATCCTAAATTAATCTGGTCCCATTTGTGAGCATCTGGCCCATACTCCTCTAAACCATTATCTATTCATTTACCCATCCAGTTGCCTTTTAAATGTTGTAATTGCTCCAGCCTCCTCCATTTGCTCTGGCAGCTCAGTCCATACACGCACCACCCTCTGCATGAAATAATTGCCCCTCAGGTCCCTTTTAAATCTTTCCCTTCTCACGTTAAAGCTATGCTGTCTAATTTTGGACTCCCCCACCCCAGGGAAAAAAACCTTGTCTATTTACCCTATCCATGCCCTTCATGGTTTTATAAACCTCTATAAGGTCACCCCTCAGCCTCTGACGCTCCATTGAAAATAACCCCAGACTATTGAGGCTCACCCAAACCCTCCAACCCTGGCAACATCTTTGTAAATCTTTTCTGAACCCTTTCAAGTTTCACAACATCCCTCTTATAGCAGGGAGACCAAAATTGAATGCAGTATTCCAAAAGTGGCCTAACCAATGTCCTGAAAAGCCGCCACATGACCTCCCAACTCCTATACTCAATGCACTAACCAATAAAGGCAAGCAAACCAAATGCCTTCTTCACTATTCTATCGATCTGTGACTCCACTTTCAAGAACTATGAACCTGCACTCCAAAGTCTCTTTGTTCAGCAATGCTCCCAGGACCTTAGCATTAAGTGTATAAGTCCTGCCCTGATTTGCCTTTCCAAAATGCAGCACCTCACATTTATCTAAATTAAACTCCATCTGCCACTTCTTGGCCCATTGGCCCATCTGATCAAGATCCCATTGTACTCAGAGGTAACCTTCTTCGCTGTCCACTACACCTCCAATTCTGGTGTCATTTGCAAACTTACTAATCATACATCCTATATTCACATTCAAATCGTTTGTATAAATGATGAAAAGCAGTTGACACAGCACCAATCCTTGTGGCACATCTCTGGTCACAGACTAGCAGTCTGAAAAGCAATGCTCCACCACTACCCTCTGCCTTCTACCTTTGCCAGTTCTGAATTCAAATGGCTATTTCTCCATGTGTTCAGTGTGATCTAACCTTGCTAACCAGTCTACCAAGAGGAACTTTCTCAAACGCCTTACTGAAGTCCACATAGATCATGTCCACCATTCTGCCCTCATCAATCTTCTTCGTTAGTTCTTCAAAAATCTCAATTAAGTTAGTGAGACACAATTTCCCATGCTCAAAACCATGCTGACGATTCCTAATCAGTCCTTGCCTTTCCAAATACATGGAAATCCTGTCCCTCAGGATTCCCTCCATCAACTTGCCCACCACTGATGTCAGGCTCACCTGTTTATAGTTGCCTGGCTTTTTCTTACCACCTTTCTTAAATAGTGGCACCACATTGGCCAGCCTCCAGTCTTCCGGCACCTCACCTGTGGCTATCGATGATATAAATATCTCAGCAAAGGCCCAGCAATCACTTCCCTAGCTTTCTACAGAGTTCTAGGTTACACCTGATCAGGTCCCAGGGATTTATCCACCTTTAAACATTTTAAGACATTCAGTACCTCCACCTCTGTAATATTGACATTTTTCAAGATATCACTATTTATTTCCCCATGTTCTCGATCTTCCATATCCTCCTCCACAGTAAACACTGATGCAAAATATTTGTTTAGTATCTGCCCCATCTCCTGCAGTTCCACACATAGGGGGTCTTCCTGATCTTTAAAGGTGCCCTATTCTCTTCTTAGTTACCCTTTTGCCCTTAATGTATTTGTAGAGTCTCTGGATTCTCCTCAATGCTATTTGCCAAAGTTATTTCATGTCCCCTTTCTGCCCTCCTGATATACCTCTTAACTATACTCCTACTGCCTTTATACTCTAAGGATTCACTCGATCTTTCCTGTCTATACCTGACAAATGTTTCCTTCTTATTCTTGACCAAAACCTCAATTGCTCTAGTCATCTAGCATTCCCTTTACCTACCAGCCTTGCCCTTCGCCCTGACAGGAACATATTCTCTGGACTCTTGTTATCTAACTTTTTTGAAGGCTTCTCATTTTCTAGTCATCCTTTACCTGCAAACACTCATCTCCAAGTTCTTGCCTAATACTGTCAAAATTAGCCTTCCTCCAATTTAGAGCTTTAACCTTTAGATCCAGTCTATCCTTTTCCATCACTATTTTAGAACTCAGAATTATGGTCACTGGCCCCAAAGTGCTCCCCCACTGACACCTCAGTCACCTGCCCTGCCTTATTTCCCAACAGTAGGTCACGTTTTGCCCTTCTCTACTGCATACATCCACATGCTGCATCAGAAAATCATCTTGTTCACACTTAACAAATTTCTCCCCATCCAAGCCCTTGACACTATGGCAGTCCCAGTCTATGTTTGTAATGTTCAAATCCCCTACCACTACCACCCTATTATTACAGATAACTAAAACCCTGTTACAAATTTGTTTCTCAATTTCCTGCTGACTAATGGGGTGGCTATTGTACAATCCCAATAAGGTGATCATCCCTTTCTTATTTCTCAGTTCTACCCAAATAACTTCCTAGGACATATTCCCAGGAATATCTCCCTAAGTATAGCTGTAATGTTATCCCTAACCAAAAATGCCACTCCCCCTCCTCTCTTGCCCTCCCCACATTCTATCCTTCCTATAGCATCTATACCCTGGAACATTAAGCGGCCAGTCCTGTCCATCCATAAGCCACATCTCTGTAATCACTATGATATTCCAGTCCCATGTTCCCAACCATGCCCTCAGTTCATCAGCCTTACCTGTTAGGCCTCTTGCATTGAAATAAATGTAGTTTAATTTATCAGTCCTATCTCGTTCTCTGCTTTGTTCCTGCCTGCCCTGACTGTTTGACTTGCTCCTTTTCCCAAATGTTCCAGTCTCTGACTGATCTCTTTACTCACTGTCTCCTTGGGTACCCCCTACCACCACCCATAACCTTACCAGTTTAAATCCTTCTGAGCAGCTCCAGCAAATCTCCCCGCCAGTATGTTAATCCCCTTCCAGTTCAAGTGCAATCCATCCTTGTTTTACATGTGAATCCTTCTGCCCTGCACCAGCTCCTCAGTCACGCTTTCATCTGCTCTATCCTCCTATTCCTACCCTCACTAGCTCATGGCACCAGGAGTAATCCAGATATTACACCAGACTGAAGCAAGTGAAAACAGGATGGTGCAAAGAAAACCCAAAAAGCGTCCAATAGGGAATGAGAAAATTAAGAAGTATAATGTGGCAAAGAAAACAGTTGGCAGAGACGCGCTGAGGGAATGGTATGGGCCCAATCAGAGGTGTTCCGCAAAGTGGTCACCAAGTCTGTGTTTAGCTGAGGGATATACGAAAGGCTCCAGCTCTGTTTACAGACACAATCAAGTGCTCTAATTTGTCTGTCATTTGGATTTTCCATTCACACCGCCTGTGCGCGCATCTACCCCGATCTCCTCACTTCCCTTAACTTGATCTCTCCCGATTCTGACGAAGGATCATTGAACTCCAAACATTAATTCAATTTCTTGTCCTCACAGCCATTGCCTGACCTGCTGAGCAATTCCCCACATTGTGCTGCTTTTATTCTGGATTTGCACCACTCTCAGAACTTTGTGCTTTTTAGAAATGACAGAAGTGCGTTTGAAACTACCTCTTTGACTGTGCAGACGAGGCGGCCATAGCAAAAGAAGATAACAGTCAGGGGGATGCTGAAATGTACAACAAACATGTAGATGACAAAGGATTCATTGTACACTTCAGGCTTCAAGGTGTAGTAATCGATTCCACATGAGCACTGCATTCCCTCGGGGATGAACCTGCAAACATAAAGACTTCTTCAATATAAAAAGGACTGAGGGATTTCACTGATGGGGTGCCAAAAGATGAAGGCCCACGCAGAAGTGTGTTGCACATCCCACTCGGTTCTAATCACAAATCTTTACTAGAATCCGTCAAGCCCTCAGTCCTCTCCTCAGACTCTTTGTCCCCCTTCCCCACTTTCCCAAAATATTAAGTCCACCACTTTGTCTATTCTCCCCACATAGTAAACCAGAACCCTTGGCCACCCTACAATTCGGCTTCCCTAGGGCCAAACCTTACCCTCCCTCCTCCCCCTTGTGGCACTTGTCTGCACCTTTCAGTCCCAACCTTCCAGCCACTGTCACCTCCCACTGTCCAGCAAGCCTCACTGCTCCCAAGCTTCCAGGTAGGCCTCCATTCTCCTGATAGCTTGGTAAGGAAAGCCTTAGAGACTTCAAACAAATATGAATAGGGTGGATGACTTTATATCTCAAGTGTGGGTTGAGATTTTCAAGGAGTTTTGAAGCTATTCATGGCATCAGGCTCTGTCTCATCATGAACACACTTCTGCCTACATTAACATTTTGGCTCCTGCCTCACTCAGGCACCCCATCCACCATGTTCACAGAATCCCTACAGTGCAGAAAGAGGCCATTCAGCCCATCGAGTCTGCACCAACCCTCCAAAGAGCATCACCCACCACCCCTTAACCTTGCATTTACCATGGCTAATCCACTTAACCTACACATCCGTGGATGGGGCAATTTAGTATGGCCAATCCACCTAACCTGCACAGCTTTGGATTGCGGGAGGAAACCAGGTCACCTGGTGGACACCCACGCTGACACAGGGAGAACGTATAAACTCCACATAGACAGTCATCCAAGGCTGGAACCGAATCCGGGTCCCTGATGTTGTGAGGCAGCGGTGCTAACCACTGTGTCACTGTACCACCCCAGCGTTTGCAGCTTTCACAGCCTTCAAAAAACATCAACGCCCATAATGCACACGTGAACGCGCACACACAGGTACCAACATGCTCTCTGTTACACAGACACACACACACCCCCAAATTGACACTCCAGTAAATAATATTTAACTGATTTTGACTGGTATTTGAGAGTCTAGACTGGTTTTTCATTGAGGCCCTGGGTTTTAATGCAGATCAGATCCACATGAGAGTTGGAGTATGTAAAGGTATGGCTTCTCTGAAGGTGACGGTGTCACTTGAGGTGATCAGTGAAGGAAGGGTAGGGTGGATGACAAATGTGATTACCTGGACCATCCGACTAGTGGGGGGAAGGCACAAGCCAATGCCATGATCCATGTGAAGGTCACGCCCATAATGGCGTGTTGACTGCCAAATCTGAAGTTGCTCATGGGTTTACAGACAACCACGTATCGTTCAATAGCAAGAACCACAAGCGACCAGAGAGAGATCTCACCTGACAGACAGAAAGGGAGAGTCAGTTCCCCTGATACAGCAAGATTTCAATCAGTTACAATATCAATTGGAGCAAGGTCAATTTAAAAGTATTGGCAAAAGATTACCGATAAAAAGGGTCACATCCAGCAAATTCAGTCACACTTTAATCTCCAAAGAAAAATCATCCCAAATGAGCTTAGTTGCTGGATTACCTAGAGCAAGGTCAATGGTACCATCTATATAAATCCAACTTAAATGATTCCTCCAAAAATCTTAATATGTATAAAATTCAACAAAATGAATCAGGATACTAAATAACTTATTAATATCATCACTTTCAAAAACAAATGATGACTTTGCTGTGGGCAGCAAACTGAATGACATCATGATTTCCAAAGAACCCACTGATATCATTGCAGAGAAACACAATGACAATTTGAGATCAGCAACTCTGACAGGAAGACTCAAACGTTTCTTCGAAAAACCCTAGGACATCCTTAGCTGCAAACACAATCATATCATCAGCAATGTACACAAAGATATCAGCAATAAAGGCAAGGACATCACCACCGCTAACAAACTCAGTGACATCATCAACCTCCAGCAGACCAAAAAAAATCTCACATCAATCATTCCTACAAAACTCAACAAAATCATCAGCAACAAAGTGACATTACAACCTCTATTTAAAATCACGCCATTATCTTCATCAAATCCCCCCAATCAAATCTTTATCTCCATCAAATCCAATTACAACATTTTTTTCAACATACCCAATCACATCATTACCTTCATCAAACCCAATCACAATCATTAGCCACATCAAACACAATGTCATCATTATCTCCAGCAAACACAAACACATCATTACCTCCAAAAATCTAATCACATCATAATCTTCATCAAACCCAATCACATCATGATCTCCCACAAACCCAATCACATTATAATCACCATCAAAACCAATCACATCATTAGCCCCATCAAACCCAATCACATAACGATTTCCATCAAATGCAATCACACCATCATTATGCCCATCAAATCCAATTTCACCATTATCCTCATCAAACCCAATCACATCATCATCATCCCTATTGAATTCAATCACATCATTTTCTCCATCAAATCCAATCACACATTATCCACATCAAACCCAATTACACCACTATCCCCATCAAACCCAAGCACATTATTATCCCCAACAACTCAATACAATCTCAATAAAGTCTATCAATGTGATCATTAATTCCAATAAATACAATCGCATCACAGCCTCCAAACTCAATGACGTTATCCAAGGCAAATGCAAGCAATCCCAGCACATCACCATCAACTAATCCATTTACACCATTAAATATCGTTTCTACAAAAGACCCAATTACACTAACTCTCATTACTTCAATAGATCAAATTACACTATAGAAAGCCATTTTTTCAACATCCAATTGCACTGTCAAATATCATTTTAGTAGATCCAATTACACCACCAAATACCATTATCTCAGCAGATCCAATTACACCATTTAATCCCATCACTTCAATTAGATCCAAATACACCAACAAATATCATTACATCAGTAGATGCAATCGTACCATCAAATATCTTTACTTCCATTCATCCAATTACAGCAAACACCATTACTTCAATAGATCTAATTACACAATTAAATACCATCATCTCACAGATACAATTACACCATAAAATATCATTACTTCAGTAGATTGAAATGCACCATCAAATACCATTACCTCAGTACATCCAATTACACCATCAAATATAATTGCATCAACAATTATACCAAGCACCATTAAATCTATAGATCTAATTGTGCCATCAAATACCATTACTTCAGTCGATCCAACTACACCATCAAATACTATTCCAGCAATTGATCAAATTGCATCATCAAAACCATAATGTCAGCACATTCTAATGACACCTTCAAATACCATTACTTCAACAGATCCAAATACGTTGCAGAACACCGCTTCTTCAACAGATTCAATTACACCAAAGTCCATAGCTTCAATAGATCCAAAATGATCATCAAATATCATTACTTCAGCAGATCAAATTACACCATCAAATACTGGCAATTCAACAGATCCATTTACACCAAATACAATTACTTCAGTTGATCCAATTACACCATCAATTACCATCAATTCTGTAGATCCAATTATGTCATCAGATACACTTGCTTCTCATAGAATCCCTACAGTGTGGAAACAGGCCATTCAGCCCAACAAGTCCACACCAACTCTTAAAAGAACACACTGCACAGACTCACCCACCTACAGTTTCCCTGTAATTCCCATGGTTAATCCACACATCCCTGGACATCATGGCAATTTAACATGGCCAAGCCACCTGCACATCTTTGGACTGTGGGAGGAAACCCACACAGACACAGGGAGAGTGTGCAAACTCCACACAGACAGTCACCCAAGACTGGAGATTGAACCCAGGTCCCTGGTGCTTTAGTGGCAGTAGTGCTAACCATTGAGCTACTGTGCCACCCAACAGACCCAAACACACCATTGAATAGTGTTACATCTGTCAATCCAATGACATGAAATAGCATTACTTCAACAGATCCAATTACACTAAATGTGATTACTTCAGCAGATCTAATTACTCCATCAAACACTATTATATCAGCAGATCCAATCACACTGTCAAACACCATTACTTCAATAGATCAAAACACACCATCAAATACCATAACCGCAACAGATCCAATTACACAATCAAATACCATTACATCAATACATCCAATTATACCAAATCTCAGGACTTCAGCAGGTCCAATGACACCATCAACTTTAATTAGTTCGATAGATCTAACTACACCATGAAAACAGCAATTGCTATCATATTATTACTACCAAACCTCCAATTGCAATACCATCTTCAACGAAGACTATTCAATTCAACAAACTCATTATCGTTATCACAAGTAACCCAAACAAGATCATTCAATCCAACAAACTCAACAACACCTTCATCTCAGATCAACCCAACAAGGTCAATAATTCCAAGAGGTTCAACCACATCTCCATCTCAAACAGCAGCCATAAGGGCATTAAAATAAACAAACTGAAAAACATTGTCACCTCAGTCAATGCTAACCTTATTATTCACTCCAAAGATCAAGATCTCCTCATCTCAAACATACCCAGCAAGATCGCTAACTCTAACACTAGAGTTTTATCTGCTCTCAGGAATTCCTTAATAGAGCATGTGTTGTCACAGTTTGTCATAACTGGCACTGTGTCCAACACACACACACACACACACACACACACACAGTGCCATTGTCAGTTCCGAATTTAGTCAGAGCCCCAGTCCAGTTCCTATCCATTTCTCCATTATGTTGATGACTATTAATCTTTTCTCTTTATACAATTGTGGAATAGTAGTGGCCAATCTCAAACTATAGTTTTAAGATAATTAGCCTCTTTTTTTCCCTTTAAACACCTGTTTCCTGATAACAATAATACCTGTTTAATATTGTCGTTAGACAGGCTAGATTATGTTAAAGGAATACAGAAGGGTCCAGACCCGAAACATCAGCTTTCCTGCTTTCTGATGCTGCTTGGCCTGCTGTGTTCATCCAGATCCACACCTTGTTATCTCAGACTCCAGCATCGGCAGTTCCTACTATCTCTCAACAATGTTTCGATTGTGTAAACTGTAAAATCACTGAGTTCCCAATATCCTGTTTTCTTTGAACCTTTTTCATAGACAGTCTGTTCAAAGTAAGGATATTTCACTTGAAATAATGATATATGTAATGATTAAGTGGTTTACTCAGCTATCATACAGGGATTCCCAAAATTATTATGGAATTACAGATTTGTCACACTCTTTTTGGGGATTTTAGCACTTTGTCATTTCCAAACCTGAAGCAAGTAGAGCTTGCAAATCCTTAACCTTATCTTGGTCCATCCAGTTTAAAGAACCTAGATAACATTTTAAACAATCCACTGGGTTGGGGATTCTAGAACTGGGGGCACACTCTGAGAATTAGGGCCACACCTTTCAGGAGAGATGTTTGAAACTCTCTTCCACAAATTGTGGATGTTGGATCAGTTGTTAATTTTAAGTCTGAGATGGATAATTTTTTTATTAATCAAAGGTATTAAGGGATATGGGCCAAAGGCAGGCATATGGAGTTAGGCAACAGATCAGCCAGGATCTCATTGAATGGTGGAACAGGCTGAATGGCCTACTCCTGTTCCAATGTGCCTATGTTCATTTCGGACAATTAATTGCCTTTGAGTTGCATGGAAGACAAGCCTAGCCATTCCTCGGGTTATGTGGTTCAATATTCCATTGTAGTTCTCCAATTCCTGTTGTCTGTTTTAATTTCCAAGGAATCTCTGTCCTCATTCTTTTTAGTTGCAATTCTCATTTTAAATAGATATTTTCAGACTTTATCTGGGCAATTTTGCATCGCTGCTACATTTGAATCCTCCATTTTTTTTTTGTGTTTCTGCTGAATGTCCAATGTGAACCATCATGGCTGCTAGGAATTAAAGCTTTCCCAAGAATTTTATTTAAGGCTGTTCCAAAAATGTGTTTATTTTAGAAAATCTAACTCCATACCCATATTTACCCATGTTCAAGGCCCTAGGAGAGTCCAACAAGCTAAAGGCGAACACTGAATTTTGGAATTGCAAAGTAGAAATTTTGAAAAGAAAATTGTTTAATACAGTCCGTTAAATTCCAAAATATATTCTTCTAGACACATTAGAAACATAGACAACAGGAGCAGGAGTAGCTAGTCTTGCCCTCTGCTCATGACACCTTTAGATTAGAGTCATAGAGTCATACAGCTTGGAAACAGACCCTTCAGTTCAACTCATCCATGCCGACCAATTTTCCCAAACTAAACTAGTCCTGTTCACCTGAACTTGGTCTATATCTATTTAAACCTTTTCTATCCATGTGGCAAGGTGACCAGAATTGTATGCAATACTCCAAAAGTGGCCTTACTAAATCTATCTATT